GCCCAGCCAGGGAGCCACCCACATAGCGCAGCAGACCTCTCCTGTCTCGCCCGCTGCTCCCCTCAGCAGTGTATTTCAGTAGATCTGCCTGTTCTGCTTCCCACTCTGCCTCTGGTGAAACCTCTCACGGCCCCCTCCAAACCTCTGGCCTGTGCCCCAGCTCTTGTATGCATATAATTAAATCTTTAAAAAAAATTAACCCCAGGGGCCTCCCCGGTGGCGCAGCGCCGGTTCGATCCCCGGCTGCTCCCCGGCCACCAGAGGAGGGTCCCACATGGCGCGCAGACCTCCCCTGCCGCCCGCTGCTCCCCTCAGCAGTGTACTTCGGTCCTTCTGCCTGCTCTGCTCCCCGCTCTGGCTCTGGTGAATTCTCTCACCCTCCCGCGCTTCTGACTGTACCCAGTGCATGTATAAACAAAAAAAATTTAAAAATAATATAAATAAATCTTAAAAAAAAAATTAACCCCATATCTCTGCCACTTCTTAGCCCTGGTTGCATCCTTCATTCCTCTTCCTCTCCTACACAACTGTCCTCCAAATACTTGAAGACAATTCCCTTATCCTTGGTTCCTTAACTGTACAAAATCCAGGAGATACTGGTTAACTTGGCAGTTTAACTCCAGATCACCAGAACTTGATGAAAACACAAAATATTGAACAAGCTGCTAAGAGTTCTATTGCCCAGCCAGCCTTGGACGCTCTTCCCATGAGTTGGTATAAACACAGGATCTCTTCAGACACCTTCCACCACCACTTAACTAAAATAAGGTGGAAACAGACAATACAGCCTTAGTCATTTTATAAATATAAATAAGAAAGCTCTTGGAACTTAGGGACAGAAAGGGAGTACAATCTAAGAGGGTAAATGCAGTTGAGGGTGGTAACAACGAATTCTAGCTCTGCTTTTATATCTGTGACCCAAAACAAAAACCCAACTTCATTGGGTCTATTTCCTACTGTTTGCATGCTAGGGAGTCTGATAAAAGCAGAGGAGCCCATGTTATCAAAATAACATGGGAAAACACCCAGACACCAGGCATTATACTAACAGTGGTTTGGGTTTTTTTTAGTATTAAAGCTGAAGATAAGAAAAAGCATTGCTTCTCTTTAAATGATTTTATGTATGAACCTTACGAGTTTTGAAATCACCCAGCCCAACACACACAATTCTGACATTCATTTCTAGTGTCCTTGCACACCTACTTCCTTCAACTATGAAGGGAAGCTGTGGAAGGAGGTTCAACTATTCCCACAGACTCCCACCTAATAGACGCAGATTCCCTCAGAGATGACCAAAAGCAGAAGAGGTTCTTTAGAATGGACACTGCTTATTATGTGTGCCTGGAACATCTGAGCCCTTGTCTATTCTTGACCACGTTATCTGAGACACCACCAATTGGAAATGAACTATTTTACGCTTAGTGGTATTTTTCTAATCATGTACTTATTTCTTTAAATCAATTTATTCAGAAACAATCTTAAAAATGTATTTTCAGGGCCTCCCCAGTGGCACAGAGGGTTGAGAGCACCGCTGTGAAGCTGTACACAGCCTCTGCAGTACGGGTTCAATTCTGCAGTGCAGGTTCGATTCCCGGCCAGCCAGGGAGGGAGATACTCACATGGGGCAGCAGACCTCTCGTGTCTCTCCTGCTGCTCCCCTCAGCAGTGCTTTTGGTCTGCCTGCCTGTTCTACTCTCCCACTCTGTCCCTGGTGAATCTTCTCACCCTCCCACGCCTCTGGCCTGTACCCAGGTTCTTGTATAAAAAAAATAAATCTTAAAAAAAAAAATCTTACTTTAAAAAAATGTATTTTCAAAGGGATCACTTCCAGTTAGGAAACTGAGTAAAGGCTGCATCTGGACTAAATTAACAATGTGTTAAACAAGCACAGAGAAGTGAGTACTGATCTTTGTGACAAAGTTCTGCTTGGTTGTTTTTTTTTAAGAGTTCATGCTAATTATCTCAGTCACCTTTCACCTGCATAGGCCACTAGGGCATGAATAGCTCCTCCTGACAAAGGCTATGCTCAGGATTGGGTGTCAGGTATATAGCAGTCTGACACTTTCAAATTTACATGCTCTAAATACAATAAGAACCTTTAAATCTAATGGTGTTGGTAGAAAATTGGTAGAAAACTCATTTCACATGTGCTGTGTCTGCCATGACTTCAAGATCAGGTGGTGCTAGAGAGTGAGGCTACACCAGCTGTCACGGTGAGTCCTGCGCAAATACATTCTAGACACTTACTACTTACTTGCACATACAACTCACATACGGTTAAGGGTAGGCTATTTTCTCCTTCTCTGCAACTTACAGAATTCTTCTAATTCGATATAACCTAGAAAAGGACCCACTTCATCTCACTTGCAACCATTTCCAGTCCCCCCAAAACTGCTTTAAAACTTTAACATCCAGACTAAAATCTCACCATTAATATAACCCCCTGTATGATAACCTTTTGGAAAACAAAACTATTGACTGTAATTGAGAGCTTTGTTGTAAAAGAGGATCTTTAAAAGAGATAAACCACTGGGGCCTCCCTGGTGGGTTAAAGTCTCAGCGCTATCAAGCTATCCGCAGCCACTGCAGCACAAGTTCGATCCCTGGCCAGGGAGGTGACCCACATGGCACAGCAGACCTCTCCTGTCTCTCGGGCTGCTCCCCTCAGCAGTGTATTTCAGTAGATCCGCCTATTCTGTCCCCACATTGTCTCTGGTGAATCCTCTCACCTCCCGCAACTCTGGCCTACACCCCAGTTCTTGTATGCATAAATTTTTTTTAAAAAAAGAGAGAAACCACTGCAAGGTGAACAAAACCCCTGGGTGAATGCCCACTCACATAGAGTGCACAGCACAAGGCAGTGGGCACGCAGTGGCAAGGGGCTCCCTCCACGTCCTGCCTGATCAGCTGCACTTAATTAGCTTATAAAATCAGAGACAAATGGAGACTAAGATCAGCGATTCAAACTACTTAATTTCATTTCTTCCTAAAAGTCTAGTAAAATTAGAAGGAAAAAAAGAACAGCAGGGGCACATGTTAACAGCAGAGCAAAATGTGATCTGGAAGTGTGACTTGGCTGATTTGATAAAGTCGAGCATCAAGCTAATATTGGGGAAAGCTGAGATGCATCCAATTTACACCACAGAACCGTCAGGGGCACAGAAATCGACAGTGCCAGGTACCCCAGGAACCAGGGATAAAGCATGTGTGGTGAAGCTAAAATAAAGATTATTGAGAAAGCTGTTTTAAGAAGTTCACTCCCTAGATTTACTCCCTACCTCCACACCATAGTGCAACCACACTTTAAATGGGCAGATGTTTGGAGACTTATTCTCTAGAAAGGAAATAGGACTGCCATCAGGGATTAAGTAAATAAATGCATAATGGGTACGAGACCACCAACACGGTTCCAGCGATCAGACTCTTACCCTTAATCCACTCACTGTACGACTCTTCTCAAAGAAATCTGACAGGCCCAAGAGAGTAGGCTTAAAGGCACCGGTACAGGGGTTTCCAATAATCCACCCAGTTCTTCCAGCAGTGAAGTTCGAAGTTGGACTATTCAAGCTTCCCAAACTTCCCACGAGCTCTTTAGTCTTAATCATGAGCAGATAACCAAGGATTACTAGGGATCTGGGGAGCCTCTAATATGAAAGACAGAGATCACAACAGATAAAATCAACTTGAAGAAACCAACAGAATACAAGAATAAAACTATAAATAATAAAGTTGAGCTAGAACTTGCCAGAAAGAACAAAATGCAGAAATGGAAAATTGGAGAAAAGCAGAAGCCAAGTCCAGAGATGTGATATTTGAACAATGGGAGTTTAAGAAGGAACAGAGAAAATAATTGCAAGACATCAATGAAATAAGTCAAGATTTTCCCAGGATATGAGTAGCCCAGATTTTAAAAATCTACTGCCCGTGTCCAACACAATGAATTAAGATAGATCCACACCAAGGAACAACACTGAAATTTCAGAACAGAGAAGACACAACTTCTACAAGCTTCTAGAGTATACAGGTCACATAAAAAGAATCAGCATCGCACTGGATCTTTTTGAACAGCATTAAAACATCCACCACTGAGAACATCAACCAAACTATCAACTGAGACAGAATTTCCAAAGATGCAAATTAGTAACATACTTATTTCCTAGAAATCTCTCTCAAGAAGCTACGGATATCACTCGAGCAAATTAGAGAACAATTTTTTTTAAAGCAAGTTTGTGGCACGTGGGGGTCCGGGGGGAGGGACTCTAGGAATGACAGCTGTGCACCAGATCCGAGGACTGTGACCGACAGACATGTGAGGGCTGTCAGTGCCAAGAGGGCCACTGCTGTAACAACAGACTGTTAGTTTGGTTCAGGCGCTTTTCTGTCCTTATCTGATGTTGAGCAAACCTATGAAGCTTCTGTTCTCTGACCCTTACATTAAACCCTCCTGCCTCCCCACCTCTCAGGGCTGAGCTCTGAGCTCCCCCAGAGGATGAGCGGGAAGCTAAAGTGAGTTTAGTCACAGGCTGCAGAGGACCTGTCTGCCAGGGGTCCAGGACCAGGCGTGGAGAACCCCAATTCCCAGGAGTCACTCAGGACCCTGCCCACCGTCTTCCCCCCAAACTGGTGTTTTAAAGTTAGGGAGAAGCTAAAGCCAAACTATAGCCCAGAGACTGTTTAACTTCCTGACACCTAACAGCTTGCATGTAATAGCGACAAGACTGCCCTTGGCTTAGTGAGGTGTTGTGAGCTGCTGGACTTCCTACAGCTCCATGTCCCATTCAGGATAGTTGCAAAGATGCTAAAACTAAGAAAAGGTAACACAGAAATGAAGATAATGGCTATTGGTGGATGATGAGGAAAGAAAAGTGGAATTGGAGAGGGGCACCGAGGGGGCTTTTAAGATATTGTAGTTTCTCCTTTTAGCCTGGGTGGGGGACAGAGCGGTTTTTATTATTTTTTATTGATTATTCTTTAAATGATATTTATACTTTTTGTGGAGTCTCTGTATGTTTGAGGCCTTAAACACGTACACGCAATCACAGCACAGCCTTAGAAAATTTCCCTCGTTTACAGAAAATGCAACATTTTTATTGATTACCCTTATCGTAGGATTAACCACCCCCATCCCCCTCCTCAAATAAACAAAAAAAAAAAACCCACCGGGGTTACAAATCACTCTACCTGAATACCATTTGTGTGCTGGCCCATCACTCGGCGCTGCCTGTGCAGACTCAGAAACCAAAGCAAAGTGTATAGGACAGAGAGCCCGTGGCTTCCACTCCTCTGTCCTCTTATTACAGGAGCCTTTCGGTTGATTTTTAAAACACAATTTAGGCCATATTCCATCAACATCTACTGTTTTGACATTTATTGGCGAATACCCTGTTTATGGTTTTCAAATACAGTTCCAATTGTTTGTTTTTGGTAACAAACTGAAGTGTAAATGAGAGGTCTAAGGGAGACAAAGCAATGTGAAAGCTCAGAATGTAAGATTCGGAAGATTTACAAGATGCCCTTAATGGGTGTGGCCGAGGACACGCCAACTCCAGCTCTGGACTTGTGAGTGCAATCCGAGTCCAGACATACAAACCATACGGACTCTGGGGGATCGGGCAGGGTGCACTTCATGTCTGTCCTCTTCCTCTTTAGGGCAGTGGAATGTCATCGCTCCATCTCTAGGCCTCCCTAGCATGGCTGGTCATAGCTGTGGGTGTCTACATATTCCACTCTCTTTCCCATCAAGTCTTCCCGAAAGAACCAAATCATCAGCACGTCCACAGTCCGCCTGCTCCTGGCACATGAAGCTCCTCAGCTGGGAAGGTCTGGTCGGCACAGGTGACAGCATGGGGAGGTGTCTTCCATGGAAGCCACCAGGAGAGCCGGGCAGGTCTTCACCGACGGCAGTGGCTGACGGAAAAAGGAACCCTGTTTTCTAGTGTCTTCTTTTACAACATCCTCCCTGTTGTTGAAGATGTAAAACCAAGGGAAATGTCTAATGGCTGCGACTGCGAAATGTTTCAGACTCACATGCAATCAAACGGCAAAACAAAAACCACCACCATCCAAGGGTCATCATCAAGGTTTCTGTTTTATTTAAGATTTTAGTTTTAATTCTGAAGAAAGAGGTACAATTCCTTGCGTTTAGTTTTAGCATCAGGTTATAACCAGGTTTCTGTTTTCTCCTGTGTTTTCAATACTGCACAAATGTCCAGAAACTACAGGGTTAAGTAAAAGCTGCAGGCAAGGAAGTCAGAGATTTGCTCCTCAGATGGCCCCAGAGCAGTGCTAGCTCAGTGCCCTAGCCAAGGGAATTTAAGGTAAAAGAAAAAAGGTTCTGACTGAGGAGAGAGACTGAAGAAATCACTTCTATTTCTGTTTGTATATTATGCATAGGTATTAAATCTGTGAATACTTTTTTCCTCAAAACATTGGAATTTACTTTTAAATCTAAAGCCAAACTCTTGTTTTTCCTGTAATAAATAAATCGCTTCTCCCCTCCTTAGAAACTCTCGAGCAAGCAGCCAGATACTAGTACAGATCAGTGTCTTCCTGTCAACTTACAATAAATTCTTTTGCTTCATGACAAAATCAAGTCCTCTCCATCAACTTGCTTAAAGAATTAAAACTTAAATTAAAAGCATTTTTCCTGCAATAGTGATAAGCTGACTACCGATGGACGCCAGGACCACCGCTTCCCCCGTGCATTTAGCAATCTCATTTCAATTAACCTGGTTTTCCAACTTCTGCAGTTGATAATGCATTTATTTGACCTTTCCTAGAGATTAATTGTCATTTTCTGCTAAGCAGATTATGTCATTATTATGCGCCACAGACAAACAGTAATTTTCTAAGTATCGAGCCTCCCTTGGCTTTCCTTTTTTTTTTTTCCTCCTTAAAGGCATTTTTAGGAAACATTCAACAGTGTCACTCAAATGCTGGATCAACAGAAACTTTTACAATTTAAAAAAAAAAAAAAAAGATGATAATGACCCTGTCATCGCATTGCATCTTGGGGGAGGGAGAAAAAAAAAAAACTGATCAGGATCTGATTCTTCAGAACGTAAGAGATGAGAGGGAGCTGTGGTGGGCTGAGAGGGGATAAACGGGGAGGGATCAAGCCTGCGTCTGCTAATGGTCTCTCCTCTTTCCCTAGTGGCGGTCCAGTGTTGAACTCTGTAGTAAATCTGTGGGGGTTTTGCTGGGGGGTCTGAATGCTGTCTGAAAGCCTGGGGGTGGGGAGTGGAAACTGGACGGATTTGAAGGAGGAGGGTAGGGGTTCCAACTGGCTCTGTGCAGAGGGATCTGTGTGCTGAAGGGGGCGCTGTGGTGGGTTTGTGACGGAGCAGCACTGGGGCCGTCCATCTCTGTGAGGGCCTGAAGGGATTTTAGCCAGTGTGGAGGATTGTCATCTTGAAGAGAGTCTAAACTGTTTCCTGAAGATGCTGGAATACCTAAGGAGAGGGGAAAAAAACAAAAACAAAAACAAGAGGGAAAATGGTGAGTTTGTGCAGAAAGAATAAGAAGTTCGTCAAACAAAAATTTTAGTGATTAGTTCATCCAAACGAAAAGAAAAAAAACCACAGACACACAGAAGAAATTACAGTTTCAAGCGCCCTCCAAATCAGACCTCTTTCATCTTAGGTTCCTTCTGTCTCTTCCACCCACAACGATGGTGATTTATTGTCACACAAACCCATGCCTCCTCTTCGCTACCGAAAATGAGTCCCCAGAATTGTACGAGATGACTCCCCAATTGGGCTTCTCCTTCGCTCTTACAGATATGTAAACAAGATAGCCTTATAATAGAGAGCTTTATTTTTAAAAAGTGGAGTATGTTCCTTTAGGAAGGCTAAGTCTTTCAAGGTTTGTCCGTGGAGACCTGCACACATGCTGCCAGATGTTAGCGTCTACTGACACCAAAGAAGCGACCTGGGCACCGAGAGCCTCATGACACAACTAGGCCAAGAAGGTTAACCAAGACTGCGCGACCCTGGAGAACGAACAAGCCAGCCCACACGTGTGGCTTTGTGAAGAGACGCTTGTCAAAGAGACCTCTGTTCTTATTTAATCTGTGTTAAAAACCGAACTGAGGGCAGTCAGTGGAGCTGAAGGAGCGAGAAAGTTACCTGTGATGATGGCTGGGTCTGTCCAGCTGCCAAGGCTGTCCCAACTCAGGCTGTCGGTGGTGGCAGTGGTGGACGTTGGTGCACTGTGGTTGGCGTTGGAGGGGGAGGAAGAATTGGGCAGTCCACCAAAGTTGATGTTAATGTTGGGTAGAAGTGCCCTTAGCCCGTCCTGCCATTCCTTCATATTTAAACTCTCTACAGAACTGCTGTTGTCTGGGAGATTTACCAACAAAAAAATGAAAGATAAAAAAAAAAAAAATAAAAAGCTGACGTTAGAAACATATGTTGTTCTTTCGTGGTTAAGCGGGAGAAGAATTATTCTTTCTTTACTGAGCATTTAAAAATGGATTGTCCTAGCAAGAGAAAGTTGGTTAGGATTTTGCTCGTGAGCTCAGAGCCCCTGAAACGAGTGAGGAAAAACTTGCTCAAGGATCAGGAGAGGGGAATTCCTGTCCTCCTTACAGTCTCTTCACCACAATGCTTGTTAAATCAATCATCTGTGTTAAAGACTCGATGCTCCAGAGCACAATTCTGTTCCAGCTACATGATGACGTTTCCGTTAGTGAGGCAATGAGCCAGTCAGCTGATTTACACTATCAAAAAGGCAAGTCTGTGCAATAGAGGAGCTTATGACTAAGCCCATTAAATGGAAGAAAAGTCATTTTATGAAGAATAAACACAAGCCAATAGAAGAAGAAAAATAATTAAGTTCTTCCTGATTATGAAACTGGCAATGAATTTCAGAAGAGAAAGGCAGTCACGAATAGGCTTTTGAATTTGAAGAGTACTTTTCCCTTCGTCACAAAGGCCAAGGAGGCAGGCGCTAAGCCACCTCTCACAGGGGAGGGTTTCCAGCACAGTCTGTCTACTCTCCTCCAACAGTTTCAGAGACCATTCAAAACACGAGTTCTGGAGTCCTTCGGTCTACTCATTAACAACTTCAGACAAGATAAGACACTATGAACATAAGCCTTTTTATAAATTGTGGTGGCACTAACTTCCCCTACTATCATTTAGGATCCACAAAGTATAGCAAATTGGTTGAGGGGGAAAGGATAATACATGATTTCTGCTTAGGAGAGTCTGTTGAAAATGGGAACGTAGGGGAAGCTACCAACTAGAGTTTTAGAGAAGAGCAGAAAAATCCGCATCCCTGGTTCTAGGGAGCATCCAGCCATCGCCATTGATGACGACAGCGGTGACGATGGTGTTCTGTCTGCTGTTTGCTACCTGGCACATTCAGGATTTTCTTTTCATGATTTTGCTTTGTACCAATCACTGACCTATGCCAAATTATGTTTCAGCAAGTGAAGCATTTGACGCTACTGAATTTATTTATGAAAAGAAAAAACTACACCCGAGCCCAACAAAAATCACCTGGGTTTACCAAAATGAAGAAAAGGCAAACTACGACCTACAGACAAGAGAAAAAATACTCTTCACACCTCCTGCTTCCATTTCACAGTCAATGCAATGTCCTCAAGCTCAGCCTTCTAGTTGCATCTACTTAACATTTGCATCTTGTTCGATTTATGAGGCCCCTCTTAGTGCATTATCATTTTGTTTGCCCCTCCTGTGTGAGGTGGGCAGAGGAAGGGAACAGTCTGCATTTGACAGATAAAGGAACAGACTCCAGAACACTTTGCTCAAGGTGACAAAACTTGTATAGTGAGGACCTGAGCCCAAGCCCTACTGGTATTGCTGTTCTTTTTAATTACACCAAGTTCTCTCTCGATCTACTCTGCAAAGCCTAGTAGTTGACGTTTTAATGGGCCAAATGTTTAAGGAAAACCCTAGAGCCTACGAGAGCCATGATTAAAAGGAAACACGGCAGCAGTACAGCACATCCATCAACACCACTAGCAGGACAGAGAGAGAGTTTGGCTGAAGGAACAAACTGGATTTTAGGGGTTTGGGGGGAAGGCTTCTAATCAACAACACAAGCAGCAATACCCAACCTCCCCACTGCATGAGGCATTACCAAGATGACACTAATAAAGTCCTTGAAAACCCTCAGTTACAGGGAGGTCTGGTCACTGTGGTACCTTCTACCCTTTAAAGCAGCCAAGCTACGAGACTGAATAACTTAACATGGCTTTCAATGAACCAGAACTGAACTCGAACAAGGAAAACTTCCTAGAAAGCAAATAAGACCCCTGATATAGAAAGATGATGTTAACTATAAGGGAAAGTTTTAAGCAAGATTAACGCTCTTGAACTAGGTAGCCAAAGTTAGTGGGAAGCCAGTGCTTATGATGAGAACCTCTTTCTTCACTGAGGAGGAATAGGAAAATATCCCATTACTAAGACCAATTTCTCCTTTTGCTTTATATCTAGGAAGAAGTGAAACTAAGTGAAACCTCAATTTTGTATTAACAGACTATTTGCTTTTCTATAAATTTATTTGAAAATTAGTTCTACTATGAAGTCAAAAGACATTTATTCAGGGAAAGATATGGAATCTCTGTGCTTTGCACTCATTTTTTGCTCTGAACTTAACTCTGCTCTAAAAATATATTTTTTAAAAAGAGGTTTTTGTTCCTCTGACTTTAGACTAATGAAATCCAGCAAGAGTATGTTAGCCAAAGAAATTCACATTGGGCACGTGATAGAGAAACAGTGAGAAATTGAGATTTTCCCAAGTGAACTATGATTATAAGCTACCTAGGGAAATAAATTGGCTAGCTTATAATTCTTAGAATCTTGCCAAAAAGCAGAATCATGGGCCTGGACATCTTGAAATCCAGATAACACAAGTCGTTTAGATCGAAACCGCAAGTGTGACATGGAAGTGCACGGACACCTTCTACCCTTGGAACCACTATGACAAGTGGCTTTGCAGAAGCACATGAATTTCTCCATTACTATGCCAGGGATGGGCAGAAAGACAGGGCAAGAAAAAGGAAATCAGCTGAATCCCATGTCCATTAAGTAGTTCATTTCAGTCCAACATACTCGAAATCAGCTGCCTTACCTCCCCCACTGCCTGTGACCCGAATTTATTGTGGCCGGGAAAACTTCTGGTAATTCCACTGCTGGCACAACACAGCAGGATTTATCTACCTCAGCAGTGTTGACATTTTAGACTATGTAATTAATTCTTTGTGGTGGGAGGGCTGGTCTAAGCACTGTAGTATGTAGCAGTATCCCTGGCCTGGACCACTAGACACTTAGGAGATGTACACATGTGCGCGCACACACACACATGCACACCCTCCCTCCCTAATTTGGACAACTGAAAATGTCTTCAGACAATGCCAAAAGACTTCTAGAGTGCAAATCATTCCCAGCTGAGAACTACTGACATAAAGGAAGATTCCTTTGTTTCTAGGCTCTAAATAATCCCAGGAGAACATGTTTCCCTTTCAAATAGTACCAGGACTTTGACCACTGGACTCAACTTGATGCAACTTCATTTCCCCTCATTTACAGAGAATTTTACAGTGGGGTACAGCCTAACATGTAAAGGTCAGTGGGTCTAGTGGCGCAAACACCGGGCTGGAAATTGCAGGCAAGTACGAGACAGCTCCGCGCTGGTTTATTAACATGACTTTCGAAGATAGTACTTTCTGCTATCCTGTTGTGTAACAGTTTAAATATACTTTCAGTTCACCTAGCTCAGCAAACCTCAGAAATTATGGCTAAGATTCTGCCAGCCCGCTGGCAACCCAATACATGGTCGATCACCACACACTAAGCCAGTGGGCAGATCCAGTTTTAGCAATGATGGCAACCACAAAAATTATCTTCAAACGCATGTGTGATGGCTGCCAGAATGAGGGTCAGAGCAGCCGCCTGCAGAGGGCCCAGACTGCAGGCAGGACAAATGCACTGCGACCAGGACATGGGTTCCCAGCAGCGCAGGGTCTGGGCAGTTAGAACACACAACAGTTCAACGACTACAGTCTGGAAGGGCAAGAGAAGAAATGTCATAGGGTTGGACTTGACCAACAAATGTGATGAAAGTTTAAAAAGAAAGGCCAGTCAGGCACACATGTGAGAGCGTGGTGGCAGGTGCAGAGAACTTGCAGTCTTTCCCTTAGGGAGCTGTTTTAATCACTACACAGACGTCAGAGCCTGAAAAACCCACGACAGGCTGAAACGGTCTTTGGTGGTTTGATATAACATCAGACTAATCCAACTACGTAATGAGAGATAGAAAGACACGTATTATACATAAAAGTAAGCTGCGTTCTGACGTCAGAAACTTCCGTAGAAAATTTTAAAGCAGAAACAGGAGAATGCTTACGCAGGAGCTCACAGTTAGCATGGGCAGTAACTCAAATGGGTTTCTTTCCTTTCTGTGATTAGATCAACAGCAATAGGCTAATTATTCTGGAACTCAAAACTAGTGGTAGCAAAACACGAGAAAATCTGCTTCTTCCATTATGACTAGGGACAAGCCACTGAGTTTTGCAGGTTTGCATAAAATCCTCACCCGAAAGAATAGTCTTCAAATGCTGCAAAGCCACCTGAGGAGCCACCGGGAAGAAAGCAGAGGATGGACGGGCACTCAGACAACACAACCCCATCCCCACCCCCGCCCCATTCCTCGTTTCTTCTGTTTCACATATTAGGGTGCCATCTAAGATTTCATTTGGAAAACATGATCTGCTGATAAGAGTGAAGACAGAAGATCTATGTATAACGACAGTGAGAGAAAAACTCAAAATAACTTCTAAAACAAAAGACTATTCCAAAGTATTTGTTCCTCTAATATAATTTGTACGATGAGATCAGGATTTTCTGTCTCCTGGAATTCTTGCCTCTACCTCCTGTTTAGTACCCACCCCCACTCTCTTTCAAGGTCTTTTCATTAAACAATGAATGCATAGACCTTATTAATTAAACTAGCTTGATCCAACTAAATTCACAAATCCACCAACTTCTCCTTCGTGTCTAGGTAGGGACATGAAGTCTCACTAAATATTTGGTCCGTATATTTTGCATTAAGCCTTTCTCAAGTGCAGTCCACGGAGCCAAGAGACCAGTTATTCTAAATGAAATTGCTCTTCTAGTGGCTAAGCACACACCAACTGGGGAGCAGTCACAAAGTTCTAGTCCCAAAATAGCCTTAAAAGAGTATTTTCTATTCTTCGGTTTCTAAGCCTTACCTAACAGTTACTCCCCAAAGCTCCAATTTGTCACCCCATTCTGTTTTCTAAAAAGCTTTTATCTTCCTTTTCTTCATTGATGTCCTTTATAGTTCAAAG